GCCGGCGGGGCTCGGTCCGGTCCTCACGGCCGCCTGTCCCTCAGATGTTGCTGCCGCTGCTGCTGCCGCTGGCGCCGCTTTTCCTCCGCCCCCCGGGCGCGGGCGGGGCGCAGACCCCCAACGCCACCTCAGAAGGTGCACCTTCACCGGCCACCTCGGGCACCCCACCCACTCCGCCCCTCCTTGCACCCCCCTTTTCTGGTCCTCATTACTATCCCGTCAGCCCTACATAGATAGCATCCCGGCCTGACGACCCTGTCTGCCCGGCCCCGCGTTAACACCCCTGACCTCCTTTCCCTTACCCCACCTATGACCCAGCACCCCTTCTTCTCTGCCCCACGTCACTGCATCGGCCTCCTTTCGGTGACCCCACCCCTCCTTCCCACACTGCTGCCTGGGTAACCTAAGAAGCCTCCCCTGTACTCTCATCCTAATTTACTCAAAAATCCTCCTTTAGCCTGTTTTACCAAGCTCACTGGCATATTGTACCCTCTCAGAATTCTTAATTTTCCCTATTACCCCCAACCAGCACGCTTCCCTCCTCACTTGTGAGCTGTCTCATTGGCCTTAAACCTGGCTCAGGGCTCTCCGTCCTTTAGCCCAGGGTTCTGTACCCATTCCTACTCCCACCCCCTAGCATCCCATCTGGGCCCCTGGTCCGCCACTGCCCACTGACCACGCCCTATGCTCCTGCGCCTCCCGCAGCTGACTCTGCCCGCCCCCCCCATTCCCTCTCTGACTCCTGGGACTCACCCCTCAGGTTGCCAGATCATACACCCGCCTTGGGAAGGGGGCATCAGGTACAGGGGCCTGACTCGGGACCAGGTGAAGGCTATCAACTTCCTGCCCGTGGACTATGAGATTGAGTATGTGTGCCGGGGAGAGCGCGAGGTGGTGGGGCCCAAGGTCCGAAAGTGCCTGGCCAACGGCTCCTGGACAGATATGGACACACCCAGCCGATGCGGTGAGTAGCCTTGCAAAGCCCCTCTTCTCTTCAAGACCATTCCTCTTCCTGCCTCAAACTTACCATTATTGCTTACAAGTCAGCACTTGAAATCCACTGTAACAAAATTCACAAATATGTTTATTGAGCGAACACTATGTAAGAAGGATTTTACTATGTGCACTTGGAGGCAGTCAAGCTAGCCGACCACACCTTTCATTTCATTTCATCCTCCCTGCATTAGGCCACTGACTGTTTGATAAAATAACTTGATTATTCATCTTGTGAGTTCTTCTTTTTGAGGATTATTAGTGACAGATTGTGCAAAAACACTCAAAATGATTTCATGGCATTTTTGAATACCTGTCTCCAACGCAGAGATCATATACCCACAAAGCAAAAGCCAGTTTAACATTAGTGTAAGTCAACTATAATAAGAACGGTAAATCTGATTGTGCATCTAAAGTTACATCCATCTGCATGTCTCAAAGCTGGGGAACAGCCCACTGCCACTGACTTTGAAAAGATCCATTTCTATGTGCTTCTAGCTCCATCTTGGGTTCCTACCATGGAAACGCTTTTTCCTTTTTTCTGTTGGTAATGTGTGGATGCTTATAGGGTTAAGGGAGGAATGGAAACTGGAGAGGCAAATCCTTTGCACCCCTGATTTCCTGCAGATTAGGATGTTTGAGGCCCCAAACCCCAATCTGAGACCCCTGCTCTTTAAGGGGAAGGAGGCTTTCTTTCCCAACGTGCCTCTCTTTCTCATTCTTCATATCTCTCCACAGTCCGCATCTGCTCCAAGTCATATTTGGCCCTGGAAAATGGGAAGGTTTTGCTGACGGGTGGGGACCTCCCCGCTCTGGACGGAGCCCGGGTGGATTTCCGATGTGACCCTGACTTCCACCTTGTGGGCAGCTCCCGGAGCATCTGTAGCCAGGGCCAATGGAGCACCCCCAAGCCCCACTGCCAGGGTGAGGGGAACGGCTGCGTGCTTGCAGCTGAGGGCGCTTGCAGAGGATGGGAGTGGGGTGGGAAGGGCTGGTGGGAAAAACGGGGTGCTATGCAACATGGGGGGCTTTGGGGGAGTGAAGGTGAAAACCCAACTCGTCCCCACCCCCCTCCTGCTGTCCCCAGTGCCCACTTTACCTACACTGGGGGCTTCCTTTCTCTACCTCCCTCTTTTTGTATCTCCTCCCTGCTCCCAATTCTTCACATGTTCTCTTTTCCTTTATGAGTCTCACTCTCCATCACCTTTTTTAAGATTTAAATACTCCAGTTTCCCATAGCCTCAGTCCCTTTCTCTAAACTAGAACTTTCTATGCATAACCCTCTTCTACAACTGATTCCTCTCCATTTGTTATATAACTGAATTATTGTAAAGACTCAGAAATAAATCATATGTCATACTTAGAAAAAAATGTTAAGATTGGAAAGAATATCTGGGGTGGAAAATTGTCAGGGTAAAAATTTAAAAGACTTAAAATTGGGGGCAGAACTGTCAGAGCACTAAGGACCACCCAGGGATGGGGAGGGGGAAGAGGACAGTCCTTTTCTGGAACTCTCAGACAAACTCCATCATTCTCAAGGCACTCAGTCTTGTGTCCAACACCTTTTTTGTCAGTCAGTTCTGCAGAATTCCCCCTTTCCTGGGCACCCAGATTCCCCCTTTGCAATCTTCTCTGTAAGATGCAGGCATACCTCATGCTTCCCCTATTCTTGTAGAATCTTTCAAGGTCCTGGACCTGGCTTTCCTCCCTTAACATAATTATTCTGCTTGTAGTTTACCATTCCATTTTGGAAATTGAGAGTCCCATCCAGGGGTGGATTTACCATGAAGCTAATGCAATTTAAGCGTCAGGGCTCCTCATTCACCCAGGTCTCTTCTTGTGCTCTAATAATGTGTTCACATGGTCATAGCTTTTTGTAAAAAATGCAAAAGTAAGATTTTAAAAGCAATAGTTTAAAATCAATTGTATTTGTAATTTGTATTTTTTTCTCTTAAAGAGAGACCCCTGCATTTTATAATATTTAGGCTCCACAAAACCAGGATCTGCCCATGTCTTAGCTGTTGGCACTCCTGTCTCAAATTCTGTTGTCCTATGAAAAATAAAAGAAGAAAACCGACAGGTCCTGACCCACAGCCCCACCTTGCTCTTATCCCCAGGCACCCTCCCCTCAGAAACGCAGGCTTCTGCTCTACCCGGTCCTCTCCGGCCTGGAGGTGTGGGAGGGGGCTGGGGATCAGGCCGGGGAAGCTGGGCGCCAGTGGTAACTCTTCTCTGATCCCCGTCTTTCCTGCTGCCAGTGAATCGAACGCCGCACTCAGGTGAGATCAGAAACCCTCATCTCGCGCACTGCAATCCCCTTACCCCTCACTCTTCACCCTCCACCCCCAGGGGTTCTGCCCGCAGGCTGTGGGGTCTCGTCCTTCTTCCCCCAACCACCCCCTCCCAGTTCACGGCCGGCCCCTTCTTTCCCTACCTGTTTTCTGCCTCCAGTCCTGGTTTTCTGCGAGGCCGCGGTCCCTCCCAACTCCCCGCTTGGCTGCCCTGCCCTGGGCTCCGCTCCTGCCAAAGGGCAGAGCCCGGCCGGGGGCGGGGGGCGCGGGCAGACCCCACGCGTCCGCCGCCTGCTCCCCGGGGGGTTCCGCCGGACCAACCCGGCAGCCCCGCGCAGCCGTCTCCCCCTGGCCGGGCCTGGCTCTCCCCCCTTCGGCTCCTCCGCACGGCAGTCCCTCCACCTCCACCCTTTGCCTTCTCGCAGCTCCCATTCCTTCCCGAGCTCTGTCTCCCCAGCCCCGGGTTCCCAGCCTCCGCCCCATCACTCCCCTTCACGCCACCCCCTTCCCACCCAACCACCTCTCTCCTAAGCCGCTGCCATCGCCCTGTCCCCCACACCCTCAGCCCTTGGCCCCATCCATCCACACCCCCGATTCAGACACGCGCGTCCCACCGCCGTCCTTCGCGTCTCCATCCCCGGCTCCCCCGAGCTTCGGCTCACCCCGCCCTCCCGGCACGCCCCTTCCCCTCTCGGCTCCTCCCTGACCGCCCCCTAGGTGGGACCTCCCCCCCCTTCCCGGTCCAGGCCTCTCCCGCGGGGGGTCGCGTCCTCCTCCCCTCCCCGCCCCTCCCC